TATTATTATTATTATTTTATTACTTTATTGTATTTTGCTCTTTATTTTGTAATTCATTGTAAAGCAATAGTGACAACTTCGGTTTAACCGGCGCTATATAAATTTTAAAATCTATCTATCTATCTATCTTATGAAAATAATAATTGGCTCCTAAGTTTATAAATGTAGATTTGTAAAATCAATGTCATCATCACAGAAGTAGGCGTTTAATGTCTATGAATTTGATGACAACCACCGATTTGTATGGTGAATGTAGTTGCCATGGGGACATCAGCCGGGTCAGGAGAAAACGTCCCATCAGACAACCATGAACCCCCACCCCTGTCTGACTTTTATAACTTTGCTTTTGCAAATCTTTGAAGCTACCACTATAACAATAATATAATTATCCTGGCGCCTCATAGGATTTTACCTTTGTGATCCATACGCAATTCAGCCTTGTTGCTGCTATGTATGTATTTTATGAATATTGAAGATTGAATTAACATACCTAAATAAATTGCTAGCAATTATTATTAATGATTATTAATAATAATATTATGATAATTATAAAAATAATATTAATATTATTACTAGCACTAACTTGGACTTAAGGGGAATATCTTTTGAGTTATTTTCCAAATTAACGTCATATTATTTTCCCCTTAAGAACGATTTCTTAATTGTTGTCTACTCCATTGTTTTAGTAACATACCAGTAATATTATGAATTATGATAATCATGGATATTAAAATAAACTTACCTTGTTGATTTGAGTTAAAGTCTTGTAAACATGAATCGTAAAGAAGTTTAAGCAATGCCTTAAGAAGAACATCTGAGTGTCTTGGTAAACTAAAGTAGAAACAATATTTTTTTAACACTGTACACCATTGAAATAAAACATACTGTATGATAAGCTTGATATGTTTTAATTTAATTTATATCATAAACAAATACAAAACACTGAGCCATGTATAATCAAAAGCAATAATATCAGGGATAGGCCTAACACTCCAAATCCTAATACAGAGTTTATTTTCAGAGGGGTCCCAAGATACAAAACAGATGAGACCATAGATATTGCACTACAGTAAAGTAAAGAGATTATGAAACTAGAATGAAAGAGTGTCCAAAGAACATGGGCAAGACCATTTATATGCATTTCACAAACTGCTGATAAAGCATGTGTGACTAAAATGATCATCCAAAAATAAATATTCAAGATTTGTACCCCTTTATAACATTATTTGCAAATTGAAATACTGTATACTTCAATAATAACAACAAAAATAATAGGGAGTGCATAAGACTCCTCAAACCTCAAGCAATTTTAGGGATTGGAAAGGCTAATTTAATCTGCAGAGTTTTTCCCCCTCACAAAATTGTGTTGATGTCCCCAACAAAGACCTCCTCTCCTTGCCAAGATACCCTGGTCCCACACTGAGGCTTAGGAAGTTTTGGGAGAAATCCTGGTACCTAATAGGATTTGAATCCAACATCCTGTGTATCGGAAGGCAAGCATTATTATACAAAATATCAACTCCACGCTCAACTAGAAATTTCACTAACTCTGAAAGACTAGAAAAAAACTTAACAGGATAAGATAAGCATTAACTGGAACTCAAAGATAGATTATCTAATTTCATTTTTCATTTGTCACACCACCTAAACAGGACACCACAACATTGACCAATAAGAACAATTGTTAGAACTGGCCTAGGGGTTCAGTCCAGTAGTTTAAATCCAGTGGGATTTGCTTGATAATTTTTCTAATTACTGCGAAATTACCTACAGGACACCGGTAAATATTTTTAAGTGCTTGAACAAGACCATGTTGCGTGTACGTGTTACTACCGCTGACTGCGGCTGTTTTGTTACAGCATTAACACATTAAGAAACGGATAATGATCGTGTGTCCTCTTAAGATAGCTCAACCTAGCCTTAGCTCTCCCAGCCAAATGTAGGTTAAAGGTCAATGGTATTAATTAATTAATGACTGATCCAGTTTCTTTGGCCCATTACTCATATATAGCCTAATTTATTTTTTATTTTGTCATTAAAGTATTTTTTTAAATAAAGTATATACATGGGAAAATAGGGGGGGGGGGGGGGGGGGGGATAAATCTGTGTCCATAACATAATGTATGTACAGTATTACATGACAAATATCCATGACTTGCCCATATATGGGCATGTTAATGTCAAGTCACACCCATATATGTGCATGATGTCACATCACTTCTAATGGCCATGGATGATAACGTCATATTATATCAATATACTAAACAAAAAAGTGGAATAATTTTGTGGGGTTGGCCTTTTCACCCGGAGACATCCACTATTCGCAAATCAAAAGATTTTTTTTTTTTTTTTTCCAAATTAGATAGCTTGTCCAATCATTTTCAGGGATGGCCACTCAAAAAGGCAATGTTTCCACACCACATGCCTTATTCAATGTCAATTTTACTGAGGAAAGTAAGGTGTGGGCTTATAGATGAGAAACTAAGGTAATGGTATACCACACATGCATTTGTCACATAAAACTTTTAGTACCGAATTCTGTCTGGTAAAACTGTTCCTGTACTACAATCTGGTGCAGGCAGTGAACTGTGTATTATGATGCACCTATCTGCTGAGTGTGAAGGGCAAAGCACAATTTTCCATGAAAGTCAATATACAGTCTGGTGGTTGACACCACAACATTTCGAAAAAAGAAAACAAACCAGCATGAAAATACAGTAGAACCCCTCTTTTGGGACACAACCCTATTAAGGGGACACTTTTTTTTTTACAGTTTTAGGCAATGTGAAGATCATTAAAGATTTTTAAACAAAATATTTTACTCAAATTACTTTTTGTTTCTCTTACTTTTTCAATACCTTCAATAGGTTTAAGATGAATACAAAATTTCTTAACATAATAAAAAAAAATACAAAATTTGACATATGAATAACTGGAATGCAGACAAAAATAAAAGAAGCAGTCCTACATGGCGCCACAATTCTTAATTTAAAAAAAAGGTATTATGAACAACGTACCGAAACCCAGCAGCTTGTATCAGGCAATTTATTAGATGCAACGTATACAATCGTCCTTCCTCATCCTGACTATCACTGACCTCAATGTAGCTTGTTATTATTCGCAACAAGGGCTGTTAAAAATATGATAAAAACATTTACTTCAATTTATATTATTTTATTCCACATTATTTTTACATCAGGGTAAGTACGCCCTATATAGTGGCTTATCCGCAGCAAGGGCTGCTAAAAACATGATAAAATATCAACTTAAATTTATAAAATTTTCCATTTAAGTTTGCTCATCAGTGCCAATAAGCACTATACAGTGGCAATGACCGAGACTCCTCGATCAGGTGTGGTCCCCGAGTGTGGGGTCTATGACAAGAGGTCCAAGGTCCCTGACAGGGGGTTTACCCACCTCAGCTGACACCATGGAACAAATTTATGAATAGGCACCTTGATGCCCCAAAAAAAAGTCACAGACTGTAAAAATGTGTTTTTTGTTTTTTTTAAACACTGTTCCTAAACCAAATAATTGGCTTCTCCCCTGACAGGGGTCCAGGTTTCCCTGATGTGAGGTTCTGTGCACCCCTGGGTCCCCTGCTAGTGCCACCACTGGCCCTATATCTGTAATTTGAGGCAGCTGGTTCCAGAGAATTAATGGAAAATAGCTAGAAACCAATCTTGAAGAATTGCCCTACATAAAACCCAATAAATTCCACAAATTAACAAATGAGACTGATGAACTAATGTTTTACCAGTAAAATTGCCATATCCAAGAAATAACCATGTCAGGTGTGAGAAAATGGCCATTGAGCATGAAACCATAACATCAATGCACAAAGGGTATTGGTAGGTGTAGCAACACACTTGCCAAACAACATTCGTAACCTTGGTATAGATCAAAGGATAAATTTTTAAGGAGCCTCTCCCTATAGACAACATTTGTTCCAAGATTCACAACTAGGGGGTCGTACTGTTGGGCTTCTTGGACACTCATGCTTATTTGTTCAAGAGTCCTTACTAATTGTCGGAGGTCAGATAGTGTGACCTTTACTAGGGCCATTTATTTTTGTAGTGTTTGCTGGTATGTGGTAGGTTTACAAATTGCTCAATTTAAATGTACATACCACAGTAAATTTATACAGTAGGTATGGAGAAGACATGTGGATTCAATAACAGATTTTGTGGAAAAACAGTAAGAATAATTAATGAATGCAAATCTGTATTTTACAACATTAAAAAATACTCAAAATATCTTGTAATGAAAGAGGTCCACTTTTATTAGTTCAATCCAGTAAAAAGGAACATTATGTCAAATCTAGTAGAATCAGTATAAAACCAGTATTTTTAATTCTTTTTGTCTTTTAAAGCCTATGGATGGAAAACAGTTTTTGATGTTGTACAGCTGATTTTTAAATCTGAGTGGAAATGGGACATAACCACCCTTTTGTGATCATTTTCTCCCAGTTTTTTAATATCATCAAAAATCTGTATCTAATGATTGAACATTCCCAAGTTTTTCGTGAAACACCTTTTTGAGTCTTAGGAAAATCAGTTGTACTTAGTGACACTAAACCTATTGAGGTGCGATTTGAGACCCATGCTGGTAGAAGACCATTGTTAATCATAGGTAAACAACAAAATATTTAGGTTATTTTTCAATACATTTGGGTTTTATTGTATGTTAATACTTAATAATTAGACCAACATTAATAGATTTGAAAAAATTGAATAAGTTAATTGACCATTACTGTTGTTGTTTTGCAAATTTAGGTTGTAGCATAATTAGAAATGGAGGTTGCAACTAACGAATAAAGACGTTAAAAACAAATGAAAACTACTGTATTACAACTTCTTTAATACAAGATTTATTCGCAAAATAAAGTTGGGTTTTTTTCTGGGGATTGAGGTTCGTAGTGAACAATAGGGCTAAATATCATTTAAGTAGAAATTTCGCTTGTCCTAAAATTGCAAGTCACAGTATTGAAATTACACCAACATTATGTGCTGCGACATTCACTGTTTCGTTAATGACCTTTGTACTTAATTGTACTGGTTAATAAAAAGTTAGTGTACAGTACCAAAGAACAAAAATATATTTCTCTTTCCCTACAAATACAAGACACACACACTCGGACTTCATGTTCCGCCAAAGTCTGCCTCATGTTTTGTTCTGTTCACTGTGTTTCGTCCTACTGTAGCTTTTTTTATTCAATTTTACAAGGTTAATAAAAAGGTGGTGTACCAAAGAAGAGTGCTCATAAACTACAAGGACATAGTTATGCATACTCTGTACATGTGGAAATTTACCAAATGCTATATGTAATATTGGTGTTCATGTTACTTTTTTCCAAAAATGTGTCTAGATTCTAAGCCTACACTTTTGTATAGTTATCGATAACATTTATAAAGTGACCCACTAAATTTGACTAAGCCACAGCCGAAGTTTGTCAGCAGCAAGAGTTTTACCCAGATGTATGCGATTGCTTCCAATTCAGCGGAGATTATCGTTGGCATGCGAGATCAACTCTAAAAATAATTTGGCCCTTCACACAAATTAATTAAGAACCACGGATTTTACGGAATTTCACCATGATTAAAAAAGTTTTTAAAAAATACTTAATTTTATGATTGCTTGTGTCAATCCATTTTAAAGGAGATATTAAGTTTGATGTTGTCAGCTATTGGCCATAAAACTACTGTTCTGTTTTTTCAAAGTGTTAATTTTTTTAATTTTTTTTTTTTGTTGCAAAAATATTTTCTTTTCCCTAAGGGGGAAGTCAACATAGGCCAACTTGTTTCATAAAAAGGAAACTTTAAATCAATTACCATCTCAACCACCACGCATTGATGTTAAACATTTAAGTGGGGGTTTGGAAATTAAGTTCAACAACCTGTTTTTACAGACTAAGTTCATCAATATGCTCTTATATACTAGTCTACCATTTTTATATATTTTAATAATTAGTAAAAATCAACATATTAGTTGGTTCTAATCAATAAGTTTATTTTATTATTTTTAAGGCTTTGCTGTCTACAGACAATTTTCAGAAAACTGATATCATGTCGACGATGATTAAATGATTTATCTATGTTAGGCTTAAGTTCCCTCACCGGACAGGTCAAGCCCCCAATCAGAGAGAGCTCGTCGGGCAGTCAGACTAAAAATAATTTTAAAGTCCTAAAATTGCAAGTCACAGTATTGAAATTACACCAACATTATGTGCTGCGACATTCACTGTTTCGTTAATGACCTTTGTACTTAATTGTACTGGTTAATAAAAAGTTAGTGTACAGTACCAAAGAACAAAAATATATTTCTCTTTCCCTACAAATACAAGACACACACACTCGAACTTCATGTTCCGCCAAAGTCTGCCTCATGTTTTGTTCTGTTCACTGTGTTTCGTCCTACTGTAGCTTTTTTTATTCAATTTTACAAGGTTAATAAAAAGGTGGTGTACCAAAGAAGAGTGCTCATAAACTACAAGGACATAGTTATGCATACTCTGTACATGTGGAAATTTACCAAATGCTATATGTAATATTGGTGTTCATGTTACTTTTTTCCAAAAATGTGTCTAGATTCTAAGCCTACACTTTTGTATAGTTATCGATAACATTTATAAAGTGACCCACTAAATTTGACTAAGCCACAGCCGAAGTTTGTCAGCAGCAAGAGTTTTACCCAGATGTATGCGATTGCTTCCAATTCAGCGGAGATTATCGTTGGCATGCGAGATCAACTCTAAAAATAATTTGGCCCTTCACACAAATTAATTAAGAACCACGGATTTTACGGAATTTCACCATGATTAAAAAAGTTTTTTAAAAATACTTAATTTTATGATTGCTTGTGTCAATCCATTTTAAATGAGATATTAAGTTTGATGTTGTCAGCTATTGGCCATAAAACTACTGTTCTGTTTTTTCAAAGTGTTGGATAATTTTTTTTTTTTTTTTTTTGTTGCAAAAATATTTTCTTTTCCCTAAGGGGGAAGTCAACATAGGCCAACTTGTTTCATAAAAAGGAAACTTTAAATCAATTACCATCTCAACCACCACACACTGATGTTAAACATTTAAGTGGGGGTTTGGAAATTAAGTTCAACAACCTGTTTTTACAGACTAAGTTCAAAAATATGCTCTTATATACTAGTCTACCGTTTTTATATATTTTAATAATTAGTAAAAATCGACATATTAGTTGGTTCTAATTAATAAGTTTATTTTATTATTTTTAAGGTATTGCTGTCTACAGACAATTTTCAGAAAACTGATGTCATGTCGACGATGATTTAATGATTTATCTATGTTAGGCTTAAGTTCCCCCACCGGATAGGTCAAGCCCCCAATCGGAGAGAGCTCGTAGGGGAGTCAGACTAAAAATAATTTTAAAATAGGCCCACGCTAAGCCAACGTATGTCTGTCACAGTCTCAGAGTGTCATTTCTGGCCATCCAGAGGTTCCTATTCTAAAAAATATCTCATTTGGGAGGGGGCACCCCCTCTCAAACCCTCCCTCCAGCTCGAGCCTACAAGCTCCTGTCGGACAGCTCAGCCCCCCAGAAAATATATTCTGGAGCCGCCACTACTCTAAAGGTGTTTTACTTCACTCACATCTTCTTTATTCGTACTTCTGAACAAATTCTGCACTTGTCTGAAGATCTTTAAAAATTGAAGCTATAACAAGGTATAAAGTCTTGCCTAGTATCATTATCATTTTATAATAGATTGTTTCAGTATTTTACATACAGGGCCAATTGAGCAACATTGGGTACTGAGGAGGCTGTGTCCTACTTCAACAAAAAAAATCATAAAGTTGAATGACCTTCCTGTCAATTTAATTGAATTTTGTTCATAATTTTATACAAGAAATTATTTGTAATTAACTTTTATTGAGTTATGTTACCTTAGGAGTAACTTTAACTTTTCTTTCAGTGATTTAGTTTCCTTTTAAGTTCCTGCCTGCACCCTGAATTAATTGCCATTATGTGTCAAATGATCTGGTTTTGGGCAATAAAGTAACGTAATAATAAATTGTGTTCATTCAATCTATAAACTATGTGTATTGCCATATATTGCAAGTATGAGATTGTACACTTGTATTGAAAGGGTATCCAAAAGACAGTACAGAATGTGTACTGCAGTGCCTTATGTTGCCGCACCTAATTTAGGGTGTTCCAACAAAGAAAGTAATGATTTTAAGTATTCGTAGAAATAGTAACCACTATATTAAGTAGGCTGAATGTAGATGTGATTGCAGAGGAAAACTGATACACAAGAGATTCGATAAATCCATTAATCACAGCGTTGACAAGCACACCAGTCTACCGCACATACCTAAAAAGTACTCCACATTAGCATGAACATGCAAACTCATTTATAGCCACATAAACCATAAACCAACATGTATTCCCCAAACATGTGAACCTATTAAATAAAGCCATCTGTAAAGACACATTGTGGCACTTCGTCACATACCCACAATCCCTACACCTAAGCTGTACCACATATTAAATATTCATAATTCAATCTCACAGCAAAAAGAAAAGCAATGGATTATATAAGGCCTAAAAAAATTAATTGTTTGTTTGCCCTTTAATGCTGAAAAATGTATAGGAGGGGCAGGCGCACAGAAAAAAAATTTCTTTTTTTAGTTTTTTATTTTTTGAGTCACTAAAATTAACATATTAAATCGCAATGCTTGCAATTAAAGCCTGTCACATTATTTGTCTTTCAAAGTGTATTCATCAGACTGAATAAAAATAACCCATAATTGATATTTTGCAATGAATTTAGACCTAGAATGGCGATACCTTACATCAGACACCAAATTTAGACAACTTCCATGTGCAAAATGGAGAAAAGTAAGATCACTTTTAAAAGTTGTGAACAAAAAAATGAAAAAAAAAAACATTTTTCACGAATGCCACCCCTATTTTTCCATAGAGTAAATGAATTACATGGATGACACAAGATCTCTCTCTTATAAATTGGAAATTTGTTTATGCAGCCTATACAAGGTTGTAGCTGTAGAAAACAAAGGTGAGTGATAAACATTTAAGAGTGGGTGGGTGATGTTGGTCAAAAAAAAATAAGAGTGAATTTTAAGGATGGAAAAGTACATTAAAAAAGGATGGTGGAGGACCATGAAATCAGCTTTAGACTGGGTGGAAACTTCACGGCTGAGTGGCCCCGCCCACCATAAGTACATCCCTGCCTATAACTCAATATACATAGTGGCCTGTACTGTAGATATCACATACAAGTTGGCATCTATTGTCTATCCATACCTTTTTCCTATGTTTGATGTGTGGGTAGATGGCGATGATATTTCAGAAAAGTTTGTAGTCAAATATTAACACTTTACAGTCTGGCAAGCTCTGTTTTGATTGTTACAGCAAAAATTTCAGCATCAGCAATTATCATTAAGGGGAGTGGGAAGTTCAGCTTAACTAAGTATGACGTACGGCAGGCTTAAGTGTTGAATGTTGGTTGTCCCAAGTCTGTGGTATCTAAGCTGGTTCATGTACAGCAAGCCAGAGGGATTAGATGTAGACGATGGATATCTTCATATAAACACATATTTATTTACGGAATGAAATTTTAATATTTTCGTAAATCCTTAGAAAGGTGAGACAGAAATATATAGACGATAATACTAAGAATAAATAGACCAAACATTTAAATGAAGGCTTAAAATGTTGTCTCTAATTTACAGACCATTTACTACTGATAGCATTTAATTAATTCCTAGCCAAATGGTCTATGGAATATCATTTATGCATCTATTAAAGATGTATTGTCCCTTGAAAATGGCACAAATTAAGAAAAAAACAAAAAACAAAAAAACAACTGATTAATAATATTTTTTATTGTTATTATTTATACTGGATAATGATTAAAAAATAATATAAAACACTTCCAATGAATGGAAGTATTTCTATCACTTCTGCTTTAAAATTATGGGTAAACATTTTTTTACATACACTAATTGATTCAATTCAAATACATTCAAGTTGATAACTTTTATGTTACTTCAAAATTAATTAATTAATTTCAATTTTTTTTTCAATATTCTTTTGGTATTTTTCATGGGAAAATAAATACATCATGAAAATATATATCCTTTCTAAATTTCAATTGAAGACAAATAACTTTCAAGATTTTTAAGTCAAAACAAAACTTATATATATTTGAGATTGTTTAGAATCCCTTGCTGTTAAATTGCTTGTGTCCTTGTCACTTTAACTATGTTTGTCTCTCTCCACCCAGGAGTACAAGGTATAGGGGTCAAATATTGGGAAGGTAAAACTGACTTATCTCAACAGAAAAAAAAACAGAAAACATTCCCCATAGCATATAAATGTAAGATTGAAGAATCTGCCAAGGAAAGAAAGGCGGGCAAATCTACTGGGTATTTAGATCCGAATGGGATCAGCAGAGCTGTAAAATGTTAGTGATACAAGCTCCAGGACTCAAATTTTTATGCTAGGGTATAAAAATTCAGGGTAGTTAGACTTAGGGCAAGGGACATGTTCACTACCATAAAACACAGGCTGGGCCTAGAATAATAAAACTTTTTTTTTTGGAATCTAATTGTATATTATTTTCCATTTATTAGCTATTCTGTTATTAATTGAATGGAGTATCACCGTGTTTTGTGCTTTTGTAGATGATGTGTAAATTGATAACTGAATAAAGATACAGGCTGTCAAAGTGCAGTTTAGTAAAATATTATATTCAATATTTATTCAAGCAAACATTAAAATTAAAAAGGCAACCAACGGCTGAATTGATACAATTGTACACAACATACATTAAAAAACAGTCAATAAACATGTACCTAACATACTGTACATATTTTTTTGGCCAAATAGACCTGGGTGTAGCAGAAAAAACCTGACATTTTACAGCCCTGAGCAGTACGATTTGACCAATGTTAAGTTGCCCTTCGTCTTGGTGAAGACTAAATCCAATGCAAGCCATGGTTTCAGAAGGCACAATAAAGTTGTTTGTATTCAAGATGAGAATATAGTGTTGCACAGTCATTTGCTAGATTTCAACTCTGGGCTTTGGGATCAAAAGGTTTTTGCATTTTACAAATCAATCTTCAGCTCCTTAGCGTCGTAATAAAGGTGGCAGTTAGGAAGAGGTTGATGTGATTAGTATTATCAGTATTATATAGTGTAAGCAGAATTCCCTTCTACTCCTCACTGCATTTGCAGAGTATGTTGAGACAAGTATCATACACCAGACCTGTGCCAGGACCATGGTTCCTATGCAAGTTATTGAAAACAGAAAGAGAGCACTATTGGTAGCCTTCAATTAAGTATTGCGTGAATAGTAAAAATAAATGTTAATGGTGGTAAAAACTCTTTTTAGATTTCTGAATTAATGGATACTTTAACTAGATTAGTTCAACTACTGAACAGAGTTTTACTTGTTCACTGCACATTTTATCATACAAATTCTGGTAATAAACATATTGTGATGAGTTCACGTGTACAATTAAAGTAGTTTCAACTTATAAAGGTGTGTACTCTTATCAGAATGGGATCTGAACTTAAGGTGTAGGCTGCTGAAACTGAGCTAATGTACAAGTTCTACCAAGGGTACTGGTAGAATACCCACATCTCCACATATCAAGCGCCCTGAGCATCTTACATTAGATGGATATGTGCGCTATGTAAAATTACACTATTATAATTATTATTATTATTATTATTATTATTATTATTATTATTATTATTGTACTGATACAGGTATGCCACCTGGTTAAACACAAAATTGTGGAGATTTTGAAGGGAAGCTTTTATTAGGACCTAGAAATCCAATTACAAGGAGTACTGCACTGTACAGGTGCATTCACACAAAACCTGAATTTTCGGTTTGGAAAGCCTACTGGACAAATCAGAAAATCAAATCAGTGTGTAAGAATAGGGACGCTGATGTTCAATGGATGCTGGCGTTCAGAGCATTGGAAACATGGTCTGAAATTCGGTTCAGATTTAATGTGAAAGCAGCTTAAGGCTACACTCAAATTTTCTAGCTTCACAGAGAAATCCTGAGAAAAAAGATTTTCATTCTTTCTCTACAATCATATTTTTACTTTATGACTAATAAACAGCATTAAACATAAAAATCAATAAATATTTATCTACATACTATTGAAATATTACTGAAAAACATTAGTACACTTTAAACAGGTTTAAATTAAACAGTTTTCAGAACTTTTTACATTACATATTTACATGACAGCCGTTAAATATGGACCAAGTGCACCCTCAATATCTCTTATTTATCAGTTAACAAATATTGGGTCGATTTTCCATATTATTGTTGAGTACTAGATGAGATGTTCACATTTAATAGCTCATCCAACATTGAAACAATATGAGAAATTAGCCCAACATTTTTTTATTTGATTTAAATATTTTAGCCTAAATTTAAATGTAGGCTTAAAATATTTAAATTCATTTAATTTCATATTTGGAACCAATACTTCCAGAAATGATAATCTTGATGCACGTAGTGGCATAAATTACATTTCGAATTTCAAATATATAAAGTGGACTTATGCTGGAGTGCAACATTATGCATGAAAATAACTCAAAAGTCAGGGTGTGGGCTTATACCCGAGATGAGCTTCAATCCATTTCAGGGTAAATAAAAAATAGTGCAATAGCTCACCTTAATATGGCGTACGATAGTGATGCCCATCTTGTCTACGAACAAAGGAACATGTCTTAAGTAGAGTCTTCTAAGGACAATAACTTGCTCTCCCATCATGTTCATTAGTAGAACTTGCAATACTTCATCATATCTATTAACCTGTAAGGGGGTAATTGAGACGGGTTATTAATAACAATTGAAAAACACCTACGAAAAAACAAAAGCCGGGCTGTATTTCAATTGAATGGTACAACCGACGGTAACCGAATACATCTCCACTCTCAATGAGAGCTTAACACAGGGGTTCTCAACTGGCGGCCAGCGGGACATCTCCAGCAAGCAAGTGCGTGTTATGCGGCCCGCGAGAACAAGCCAAAAATAATCCGTTTTCTGTTAGGTTTGGGGACTAGATTTCTAACTTTATTAATTTTGCATTCTGTTTTGCCGACTAGGCCTATACTGGACCACAAATTGTAGCAATTTAATCAATCAATCAATGTTTTTTGCATTAAGAAACACACAGGTAACTTTTTTAAGTAGAGATGCCCTGTATGAGCATCTAGCGGCTTATATTTTCAAAAAATTTCTAATTAACCCTCCCTCGGCTCGAACCAACGGCGCTCGGATGGTGCTTTTCGATTTCAGAATGAGTGGATTGTTATTAAAAACGTTCTGTTGCACATGAATTTTCAAAATACGTTTTTCATAAAATCACTTCGGTATGACGACTGTTGCTAACATGACTCTATAGAGACAATATTGTACGCTTTATATGACACAATACATTTTTTAATCATATTGTCCTCACTACAGATTATAAAATTTCCCCATAAAAATCACAAAAAAATACAAAATATGGCAAGATGTTGAATATGAAAGCTTGGAATTTCTAATATTTCTAACCAAATCATTTAAAAAGTGCAATTCATCGTTGATATATATTTATATTGAAGAACTTGTCAGTAATTTTTAGTTGGTGGTGAATTGGGCAACACACCGGGAGACAATCTCATACTCTTTTCCAAAGAGTGAACTGCATTTCTTTAGCGTGCTCATGAGCAATTTGGTGCACTTTTGAAACTTGCATTTCAGCCCTCCAGCTGAAACACAAGGAGAACAGTAATGGGAATGGACCAAGAGATCTCCACAGTTCAGTGCTGCCACCAGTTTAGCCGACTGAGCTAGCTCCTCAGATACAAGATATGTTCAGATGAATTAGACATCGTGCACATAAAAAAATTACCTTCAATTGCAGGAAAAGAGTTGGTTTAGATTATTACTAACATTAAACCACAAGTTTAACTTACATTTCTCACTCCATCAGCTATTTTCGGAGATTTCTCTATGACTCCAAGAATACCTAGAATGCACGGAATAACAACGTCCAAGAGAGGCGCTTTGTTTGAGTAGATTTGTGAATGCACTGCCTCATAGACAACACCTGCCCTATTGTGCCATTTCAATTCAGTAGCATCCTATATAAAAAAAATGATTGGTGGAAATAAACATAAATGGTAATTATAGTATACTACAGTACGTTACATGACACACTATCTCATTACATGACACACTTGCTCAGAGGGCATTAGAATTTACAGTTGCAGGAGCTAACAAAACTCGCAAAGGACGACACTGGAAAAACTTGCTAGGTGTGTTATGGTCTAACTCACTGAAGACAAGACACAGTGAAATTAGAACGAAGATTTTATAATAACAAGATAGCGTTCTTCGCTATTCTACGTGATACAAATAGAAGCGTCAATGTTCAGTAAAAAGAAGCAAAAAAAATAACTGCAATTGAGAGAGGGCGTCCTAGTTGTTACTATGGTGGTTGTTCAAGAATTTGCACGTAGATCATAGATGTCAAAGTTCAAAAGTTCAAAAGTAAATGCAGGAGGGCGTCCTACACTGTTACAGAATTTGCACGCAGAAATCGCGGAGAACGCTATCTTGCTATTATAAGATCCTTGATTTAGAAGGACAGATTGCAATTGCAGGATGTTTTGACTACTGTAATAGCAGAACACAGTATATATATATATATTTATGCATCTCATTACTAGGCTTAATAACAAGTCGTTGTTAATTGTGGGAAAATAAAAATCTTGGAATTTGTAATCAGAGCTATGGTATTGGAATGCAAACATCATAATCGCCAAGATAATGTAATGGTCACGTGTTTGGAATCGCACCTTTTCTGTAGGATACAAAGCACCCAGGATCAGAGCGAAATACAGCTCTACCACACATAAACTGTGCCAATGACTATAAATGGAGGGGGCTATTTAAAGACATTTAACAAATTGCAATAAACATACCACTTCCGTGATTATGTGAGTCAGACATTCTATCCCAAGAATCTTGTTATGCATCTGAAATGGAAAAATATATTAAGTTTAATAAAATAGTATGTTGACCAAGCAAAGTGAAATTTGGAAATTTATAATTAAGCCTAAGCCTAGTTCTAGCATTCACTACCAGCCACCATGCACCCCATACATTTTGTTTGGGAAATTCGTAGACTAAAATCCATGGACATGAGGGGCATAGATGAACTTATAGCACTTGGTGATGTGGAAGCTGTACTATGTCCCAAGCATAGAGCTATTAAACAACTAGAGTGCTGACAAGGTAGCGAAACAATGCAGAGTTGTGTATGTGTACCATCCAAGATGGCCGCCACAGGAAAGCGTCACCTTCAGGCTTAGTATAATGTTATTACCATAAATAAGCCCTCTGACTGACTATTATTTCATTAATGATAATTAGTATTGATAATAACAAATTATTAAACTATCATAGCCAAAAAGAGGCCGAGTAGAGCATCTTATTGAAAAATTTAAAAAAAATTAAAATCGTGTACAATACACCCACACACTGCAACGCTCGAGTTTCAAACATATGGGTAACTAGCTGTACTGAACTTTCTGTGCAAATTGAGGGCACCACTAAAAATGATAGTGCTTAGGCGAAATTTGATTGGCTGAATCTATGGCAGCCATCTTGGATGGTACACACACACACACAGCTCTGCTTATTTCGAACATTGAATACATTGCAGTTAGCGCTCTAGTATTATAGTATTATATCTCTATGGTCCCAAGACAAAGTCAAGGGACATGTACAGTCTCCAGATCACCAAAGGTTATAATTTGAACTATGACCTGCTTCAAAATCCCAGTAAATATTTGTTTTATAAAGCACTACATAGATTCTCCATTCTTTAGTCGTGAAGAGGCATAGGCCTAGCCTAAAAGAGCTTCGCTAGCACTTCATCGAGGCCTGCATTTGATAACTCGTTTACACTCTGTAAATCACAGTTTGTGGCTTTAAGATATGCTTCAAATATTTGGACGGCATATACTTAACTTGTTTTTTTCATATTATCACTGGCTGCTGAACTCACTACAAAACTCCGCCATTGTTATTCCTAGCCTATCAGTACGCAGTGTGCAGCTGAACGATCATCAGCTTCCAGGTCATCAAATTAGGTCAAATTTGATTAAATTATTAGAAGCGTGGGCCTCAACCATAGGATTAGCATCAAATGTATTGATCAAATCTTCAAACATCATCCAAATAAAATTGGCAAAAAAGACATCATCAGATTTTTGAGATACAATATCATGGACCTAGAAAGAATTGTAATTACTCCTATCGTATTATGCTATTTAAGCAACATATTCTTGGATGCCATGCAACATTAACAGCAAATAATATGACTAAACTTCATCACCAAGTTATTCATCATGCATTGTGAGTGAAGCATTTTCCCATTACCTGATAATCATCTGTGAATAGCAAGGCTGGGGGTAGGACCATATCAAGATGTTCTCCAAGATGAGGGTGCTGAAATGATTTTTAAAAAAATTATTACTACTTATTTACTACTAAAATATATAATCTGTCTACCATAACATTTTTATTACATCTTGCAGCTCTATGTTGGGACACCTCAGACGATACTCAGAAAATGATTATTTTATATTTACTAAACTAAATTTAAGCCACAAAGAAACAAGTGTATGACAATGCTGAACTTATTCACATTTGTAAGTGTGGCAATTGCAATTAGGAGGGAGGGGGGGGGGGGCGAGGGCCTTTCTGGTCTAAAAGCACAATTTTTACCATACTAAGCTATAAAAAAAAAACTCCCTATGAACCCTACTGGGATTTTTTTTATTCAGGAACCATGACTGAGGCTTTATTCGGCTTCTTAATTTGGACCCCTCCCTCAGACATGTCAGACCCTTTGTCTGCAAATTTCTGGAGCTCTGGGATTGGAAAGGCAGCACCTCAACCACCAAGTAATACCTCCAGCTGATGTTATAGAAAATGGGGTTTTATGGACCTATCTGAACTTAATTTGCATAAAGCCATTCTGGTTTCAGTACAAGACAACCCAACATCCCTGTAGGTGTTCACAAGAGTAGGCTGGAGGTAGCGCATAATGAGATGTGTGGGGTGCTGGTTTTAATTGTTTAGTCATAGGTTTTTACATTTTATGATGTTTGTATTGTGTGTTTCAACTGACCTTCATTTGCATAAGGCACCATTTATACACATGTCTACAAATAGGTTCTCCCTTCCACGTAGCTTTCGTTAGTCTTGGCTGCAGTATTTTCAGAACGTGACTCAACACATCCTGAGTCAGGACACGGTCTCCCTCTGGTGCATCCAACGAATTGTCCCATATAAGTAGTTCCCTGATAGAGGGCACACTACACGCATTGCACAACACAGACTGTAAGTCTAAAATAAAAAGGATAAAATGTCAAAGATCAGTTGAGTGGCCAAGTGGGGAAGGCCCGGCACAGCTAACTACAGTCTTAACATAACCCTGTGCAAGCCGCTTCTCGTCCAGGTTCAGTCGGGAGAAACCAATCTTCTAGGACATGAACATAATATTAAGTGCCTCGTTACAGTGGCAAGGTAGTCACGAACCACGCGTATATGCAATTTGGCACAATGACACTGCGAGTTATGTATTATTCTCCTACCTCTAACTTTTTAGCTCCAATGAGGAGCTCTAAAAACACTCGGCTAATTGATTAACAGATCTTTTTTGTATGGGCAGCCGTTAGGGCAAATATACTCTACTGTCTCTATACTGCCCTCATCGGAGCTTTCAAAATTACGAGAACTTGCTTACCCAAAATATAGCTGCGTAAATTTACCTTAACTTCTCTGTGTGGAACATGTGTGTTCTGTTTATGATTGGTCAGTTAAGTTTGACTGAATCTTTAGAATAGCCTATTAGCCTATACATGTCCATTAAAATGTAAATTAACATAAACAAACACAAACTTTTTAGAAGAAGATACCTTTAGATTCTTTAACTGAAGCAGCTGATGTCCACTGGAGGTCTGTACAGTGTGTTGCACATGTGATGATTATGTGAGCAGCACATTTTTTAAAAAACTTTTTACGTAACTGTGCATTTGCAGATAGCTGGTGGGAGTTAAGTAAATTCTTGGTAAATTTCATAATAACCACTGCCCGTTGAGCGAACTGCTGACTCGCAACATCATCCCAAACTGGAAAGATATAATTGAATTTAAATAATAATGTCTAAAAGGAAAGGTCAGAATGAAATTGAAATATAGATTTTGTCATTCCAATGGATTAAATAATTTATTTACTGTATTTAACTTCCAAATTAAACAATTCAGTTTTTTTCTGATTTTTTAAGGGAGTTTAGGGATTTTATAGAATAAACAGAATTAAAGTAATATAAACAGAATTACTGCCCCTCCCTCCCAATTGCAATTGCATTTCTGATGATGACATAATTAATGATGAAATATTGAATCCCGACACGATGGCGTGCATTTCGATACTTGGAGTATGTATTATACAATCTTACTGTAATATGCAATTGTTAATTGGCTTGGAAAATGTTTCACCACTTTAATAGAAATATTATAATTTGTAAAAATATGGAGCAATTAAAATATCGAATTACAGGTCTCCCTCCAATTAAAGACTACTTTTGGGACTGGGGTTTCCATGGTTTTTAGCAGCTTTGGTCTCTAATAATTAGAATAATGAAGATAAAAGACATTTTGTTAATTAAGGGCCACAGAAAAGTGGTCTCTAATAAGCCAATTCATGGTTTGAACTGCACATGTGCGTAATCCCATGGTATATAAGATCAATCAACATAAACATATGTTGTGTGGTGTTTATGTCTGACCTTGATATATTTTCTCCCTCCGTGATATGTGCATGCGCAGTTTTAACTATGAATTGACTTATTGGAGATGTAATTAGAGGGAGACCTATATTTTTTTTTGAGCTTTTTAACTCATCACAGATAGTATCCTATATTTACACAATATTTATAAATATTAATAAATCACTGATGGATTCAAGGGGAGGCCAGCTAAACAGGGCCTCTGAACTTAACACTGTAAAATCTATTGAAAATGCTGAGAGGTACTCAAATGAACAGGAAGGTCTTAAATGTTATATTGCAAATGTAAATGATTGAAAGATTTTAACAGTCAATAATTTTTTCATCAAGATTTTTTTCACATGTCTCTTTTTCCTCCATTTTTATTTCTCCTGGACCTAGTCCTAAGTATTAAGACAGAATATATGATGAGAATTTCCCTGTCTCTGAATTCATGTAAGTTCAATGTAAAATGAATCTAATTTAACTTTATATATTAGTTCCATAGATCAAACTATGCCTAGTTTTACCAAATTTTGACTTCAATGTTTTTGATACTTTGATTACCTTTGATGTAGGCCTAGCAGGCCCGTTACGACAGTTTACTTTTTAAGTATATTTTCTTACTAGAGGCCTATAGGCCTAGGCCTACTAGTCCTATTTTGTTTGTTATTTTGCTTTGATAGTAATTGTTATTGTCATGATGGAATAATAGACAATAACTGGATTTGCGTCAGGAGAAACATGTATAGGTGTAATTTTGCCCTACCTGACATGGAGATGTACCGAATACTCAGTACATTTGAAAACAACTGCGAAAAAAATCGCAAGTTGTTCTCGGGTGGGACAAGTTGTTCTCGGGTGTTTGTTGTTTTGTTTGTTTGTTTGTTTTGTTTGATAAAATAACGAAATAGGTACTTGGCAACTGTTTTATGATGATTTTGAAATACTTTCAATAAGATAATGAGAAATAATTGGAGGTCTTCGTTTTTCGGGTCTTCGGTCTTCATTTTGTAGAAACCCATATGCCTATAGGGTGTCTATAAAACGAAAACCCTTGAAAATTTCACAAACAGACACCCAAAAAAATTCAGAATTTTGATTTTGTGACAGCCTGGCATATTATCAATGTCATAAAAATAAAAGAGAAAAAATAGGGGTCTTCGTTTTTTTTATAGACACCCGTTATACACGATATTCTTGACAGAAGTTGACTTGGGGCCGAGTCGACTTGGGGCCGAGTTAATTTGGGGCCAAGTTGACTTGGGGCCGAGTTGACTTGGGACCGAGTTGACTTGGGACCGAGTTGACATGGGGCCGAGTTGACATAGGGCCGAGTTGACTTGGGGCCGAGTTGACTTGGGCCGAGTTGACTTGGGACCGAGTTGACATGGGGCCGAATTGACTTGGGGCCGAGTTGAAATGGATGGGGCCGAGTTGACTTGGGGCCGAGTTGACTCGAATTCTACAGTACTAGCTAGTTACAAAACCTATAGGGGGCGTTGTTCATCGGCGATACAAACATTGTGATAGAAAATAGTGCCCCGACGGAGATAGGATACCCTATATATTGAGTATTTCGCGGAAGAATATCACAATTTGGCCAAATTACTTCCAGACAACTCTTCAGAAATAAATTCCCAACCTAGCAATAGGTTTTTCAAGCGTGTGATTCGATTCAGTAGAAGTTTTTTGTTTACAACAAATCTTTCGTCGTTTTTTAAGAATAAAATGAAACCTTCGCTAGTTTTTTAGTTAACATGTTTGTTTTATTCAGGTTTTAATATATAAAGGTAGGCAAGTTAAAAATAATATATTTGTAGCGCCTAATTAAAATATATGGTCCAAATTATGATGTATCTATTGTACTGGAGCTTGGCTTCGCTCGTACGGGTTGAGGGTGCCCTCGTGAATTTTACCGCGGCTACACGCGGGGTAAACAATGTTTTTCCTGCTGGCTACAGTGGTGTCTGAGCCCTATAATTAGGCCTAGATTAGGAGATTTCAATGCAATATATTTTACGTAGAATCTATCAGTTGATAATAATTATGAAATCTAAAATAATTACATACCAAATTATAATTGTTAGTATTGTTTTAGATGAATAATCAGAGTTAAAAAGCTTCTTTTTAAACACATAATTATACTGTAAGGGACAAGTTTCCTGTATAATGAAAATAAAAGGAATTAACTCCAGCAAAATTTGTACTTAATATTGTAATATCTCCGCTAATACTGGTCCGATTTACATAATTTTTGTTTTAAAATGCTTCATTTAGTTATGTCTTTCTTTTAAAAATAATTTTAAAATAAATGTGAGACATTTCTAATTTTAAATGTCTCTAGCTAACAGTACTACTAGGCCTAGGCAGGCAGAGAAATAGGAGATAGGAATAGGACTTCTTGGCTATGAAGATCATGATTCATGGTACCTAGGCTAGGCCTACCACTAGGCCTAGGCCTACCTAACGAAGTAGGCCTAGCTAGGCCTTGGGCCTAGGCCTATACGAAAGAGGCAGGGCTTGGTTGGACGTAGGCTTACCTAGGCCTTAGATTAGACAGTACTAGGACAGTGTAGTAGGCCTCAGCCTATCTAGGAGTAGGCTAGGGCCTAGGCCTATATTTGTAAGAAATAAACCACACGATAACAAAGATAGCACACTTTTCACAATAAATTCATTCCTATATGATAGTGATAATATCCTAATTCTTTTTTTTTTCTTATTAGGGAATGATTCTTACCCAGCTAGGCCCAGCCTCCCTCATCAAACAAGCATGAACTCACTCAGCAAAGAGAGTGATACGTTCTTCTCGAGAATGTGCCGCCCATGCCAAGTTGTGGACACTTTTTCAAGAAGCTCAAATCCTGGTATTGAATGACGCCACCACTATCAATTTAGATTTTATTTTGTGTTACGTAACGCTATTATTAGGCCCTGTCCTGAATTTACCACGATTTTAAACTGTTTATAAACGTCCAATGAGTGAAATGACTAAGAATTCGAAGAAGGTACAAATCGAATACTGGTAAGTATGTTTTCTTGCAATGCTAGATAAATAGGAGGAATCTGTAGTTACCAACCAAAACAAAGGCCTAGGCTACTACCTAGCCTGGCTAGGCCTAGGCCTAATAATAGGCTAGCCTAGCTACTGTATGTACTGTAGTAGTAGTATTGTGGGTGCTTATAATTTGATGAGGGCTCAGCTATACAATTTAAATAAGGTATCTTGTAGTTTCAATTGCCAATGACTTAGGGCCTAGTATTGTATTCTATTTATTTATTTAGCATCCTTCCATTCAATTTATTAAAATTTTAAGTTTCAACATCAAAAATACAAGATATTCAGCATTATTAAAATTGAAATGTATAATTAATTGCCTAAAAAGATAAGGAATGGATGCAAGGACAACCCATTAAATCAAATTGGGGTCCTTAATTTCTTAACTGTAGCAGTAGAGCCATCAAAAAACTGTATTAGCAGTTAGTATGCTACTAGGCCTATTGTAACACCGACACTTTCTTGGCCTAGGATAGAAGTTTATTTTGTTTGCCATAGCTATTGTTTGATTACTGTAATAAATAATACAGTATTCTATTGCTATACTGTCTGTACAGTATGCCTCAGACTAATTTTCTAAGCAGTGTTAGAAAATTTAATCCTGGCTGAATACAGATGAATATGTGCACCCTTTTGATTTTTTGCATTGACATTTTACATTGAAATAGCATGCACACTTGAAACATCCACAAGAACGTCATGCACAAATTGTTGCATACACATTCCAATAAAGTCAAGTATCCAAATTTTTAAGCTCACAAAGTATACTTTTTACTTGATGATAACATTTTGGACACTTCCCAAACAAATTTAGCCTAGATTTTCTTCCTCGGCAAGATTCATTCAGTTAAATGTACCTCAAAACTTAGATAATTTTACCAAAGTCAAGGAAAATGTTCCTCATGCTGTTGGCTCTGTTTTTTTTTTTGTGTGTTTTTTTTTAAATCAAAGAGACAGAAAAAAACTCCAATCTAATGAGGATTCATCTCGGCTCACGTACCTAGAATGTATGGTACTCTTGTAATTTATCATTTTATCAATTTATTTTATATTTTTCTTAATGTTTATTTTGTGCTGAATAAAGAAAGATAAATGGACACTAAACATACATTTTATTTCTAATTTTATTAGTGGTTTGTGAGGGTACAAGTCCCGCTTCCTGGAGCTACAAAGTCAAATCCAGTCAGCTGTGCCAGAAGCGGAAGTCACCGGAAGTGTTGGGCGGGATCATAAGTATACTGATGGTCACACCAAGTATTTTTCAAAAAAAAAAGAATTCTGTGCTCGATTTCTACATTGTATAACTTTCGATACAGTTTGGGATTAATTTTTCATTAGAAAAACATGTTTATCCTAGGTTATCCCTCAAAAGTGGACAAATTTTTATCACCAAAAAAATAAAACATTCGGTTAAATATATATATATATATATATATATAATTTAGTGTAACACAATGGCAAAGGATATGCCAAAGAGCAAACTTTAATTACTTTTCTAAGTGACATAGACAAACATAGACCCAAAATGCTGTATATAGTCTGTCTCATTATGAGGCTTAGGGAGTGGAGTTGTTTGGTTGTGAAAACTGACAGGAATTGAACCCAGGACCTGGGATTGAAAGGCAAGTATCTTAATCACCAAGCTATTCAAATCCACTGTTTTTGAATTTAACATCAGTCAACCAATTAGTAAGCCAATTCGTAGTTAAACCTGCGCATGCTCATATCCAAGGTCAGTCGAGGTCAATCATAAACCTATGTTGTGTGTATGGTGTTTACAGATTTATATCAAACAATTACTATAATAGGTATTTATAGAGTGCTAATATTGATGGAATAATACAATGTTTAGTGGTGCAAACAGGTTCCATGCCTACTGTAAATGTATTCAAACAATTTAATATAAGTAATACAGGAGATATGCATGCAAAGTATTGTTATTCTACTATTTATAGTGGACTGATTTTATTTGCAGAATCATTTGAAGTGAGTTTGAATGATCAGATGCTGTTTTCCAAGCTGGATTCGGGGGGATTCCCCAATAATGACCAGGTGATTACATTGCTACTGATATGTCATAATCTTAATAACAATAAATCAAATATTTGTTTTGACCATTCACAAAGTCATCATCTTCATTCCACCTGCTCAAGCCTCTAAGTTCTCCGCATTTGTTGTGGTGTAATCTAAAACATAATCATTCTCAACATTATCATCATAATCTTCAGCAACAGCAGCAGCAGCACTGTTATTACCTACATCATTATCACCTAAACGACCACCAGTGTTATCATCGCCAACATCATCACCAACAGCACATACATTTGGCACCATCATTCATATCTGTCACTATGTGATGTCACAGGCCCCAACCTGGCATCACATCTATTTGAATTCTACCAACCTTTATTCTCTTTAAATACTGACACTAAAATATTTAATTTTAAACCAGTCCATCTTTGATAACGTGGATTGATGACACCAGTTCTTTGCCTGATGAATTTTTTATTTATTAATAAAAATGTTGCTCTCTTTTTTTAGATTGTGAAGCAAGTTGTTAATTATGACGGTGGGAATGTTGATCAAGTCACCGATATATCCTTCCCAGGATGCAGTATTTTATGAAGGATAGTACAGGTATTAATCAAACACAAGCAACTATTAGTAATTTTACGATAAAATATGTGATCATATGCCTAAAAATTTATACCATTTTATTAAACAATTATACTAAACATTTTCAAATAAAATCATAACTTCTAATTAACAAGAAATTATACAAACAATCTTAGCAGCATAATAACAGTTAAGTTTATAACATTGTGTTTTTTTTTATGTTTTTTTACTTAGATATAACAGTAAACAGTGCAACTAGCAGAAATGTACTCAACTCAAAAATCATTTACCATTCTGGAGAACTCAACTGAAATACTGTAATGTGGCGAAGGCATCACCAGTCACCGAATAATATCTTCTCAGAGACATGGGGTCTTCGTTTGTGTGATCTTAGTGCTAGATAATGCTTTACCCCTGATGATTCATTTTCATGCCACATGTAATTTGTAAGGTGGTTGAGTTGCGACACATTCTTGAATGACATCATTTGGTACACAATCCGTTTGTAGCGGATGATGGCTGGCACTCAAAGGAAAAGTCCATGTGCAAGCCTGAACTTCAGGTCTTCAAACTCTTTGTGTACAAAATGTAATAACATTCTAGGTTTGTAATTTATAATATTAATAAATTATTAATGACACAGAGTAAATTGGTGTTTGACGTTCTTTTCAAAGTTGTGTATACAGTATTAACATAGAGTAACTTCTTGAACATTCTATACAGTAGGCAGGCCCATAACCAGTAGGATTTCTGTGGTCCGGCCAAAACCACTTTTTGATCAAACACCTTTAAACCAGAGCTTATGTTCAAGACTATAGTCTTACCACTGGACACCCGATTATTAACTGATTTATTTATTTGTTATTGTAGGATAGGCTAGCTAGATGCCATTTTCACTAGAGCACCTGCGAGCCTTTAACATAATGATAATAATTATCTGCTTTTTGCCGTTTTCCTCGAATTTAGGATACTTCATGGTAAATGTTCTTTTTGTTCATGTAAAGCGCACACAGACGACTTTATTGTATTGTGTAAGACTTGCATTATTATTAGTTTCATTGTTTTCGAAACACCGCAAAAAAAAAATACACTGAAGAAAAACTGTCTTCCTTCACAGGATGTCTACATACTTTTAATTCATATAAGATAAGAACACTGTGTACATAAATGTGCTTTAAAAGGATGAGCTAAAAATATTCACACAACTGATTTTATCAAACAGCTAAAGTTATCTCAAATAAAACGTGTAACAAGACTTTCACAAAAATGGAAGAAGTTTCCCCACTGTACCCAGGAGCACTTTCCAGTTGTTTGCACCAACACTAAAGCTGAGCATATACACTCAAACTCTTGTCTGTCAGGTTTAGAAAAGTTCTGTCCGCACTATCAAGTTTTATGTGACAATTACCCTGTGGTCTACCATATGACAGATAATTGTCACATAAAACTTGATACAGTACTGTAGTGTGGACAGAGATTTACATATCTGATCAAACAAATCATATTTTCCATGGCAAAAGTTGGACAAATGCTATAATCAAAAATGTGACTTGCACATATGTGGGTATAATATGACATCATCCTGATGTCACAGATAAATTCACAATGTGGACAGAGTATTACAGGTACAGACAAGAAATTAAATGATATGTTGTTACAAAGCAGGCAATATCTCACTTATGCTCAGTCTACACTAAGAAGTTTTATGTGGCAAATATGTGTGATTTATCCATATAAAGGTGACATAACATCGTCATGTCCATATATAGGCAATTCCCACAAATTTGTCACTTAAATCTCACTAGTGTGGACAGAGCCTTGTATGACATCACCATGTCCTAGTGAACTGAATTATAAGGCTGGTTACACAGAAATGATACCCTGTGAAAGTCTGTCCATGCTATCATTTTTTTGTGACAAGTAACTGTGATGTGCTCAAATATGGGCAAAGCACAGATTTTGTCACACAAATATTCATAAGCGAGGACAGAACTTAAGTCACCCCTCTTTTTCATCCCTATCTGTAGATACCGATGGCATTAGATTCTGTACACATTTCAATAGAATATCTGGTATATTTTGATACACACCACTTGAACCCTGTATGCTTCCCTACAACCTGAGTGGTTATGTATCAAAATTAACAGAATGCAAATAACAATACAAGAGGCCTAATAGAATGGATGCAAAACAAAAAAAAAGATGTAATGGAAAAAGTTAGCTATCAGCAGCAAATTAAAAAGCATAATTATAACTAAACAGTCAATTTACAATAGAAATATAAAAATTAAAATAATGAAACATATATGATAAAATGATAATACTACATATTATTGATATATCAATCATATTTACAATAACATAAACTAAAAGATTGGAATGAGCAAAACAATAAATATCAAAGAATTATAAAATTGCAAAAAGCAGGTATTTTGAGGAAAAACATTAGGGAAAAAATATTAGAATTGATTCAAAACAGATATTGAGAAGACTTGTTCATTCCTGGGTAAATCCTACTTTATTTACAATTTTCAAGTAAACATGATTTCAAAATGCTACAAAAAACAAAAAAGTTTCATCAGACTTTAAGCGGTCCACACTATCAAATCTTATGCGACAAATAAATGTGATATGTCCATATTTGGACATAATATGACATATCATATATGTGGCAGAGCCAAGCCCAAGGAGGGATAAGTCGAAATTTTCAAAATTGAGTTTTGTACATATTATGAAACTAGACATTATCATCTTTAAAATGAAAAAAAAATCACTTTGATATGACAGTTTAAGGCGAAGTTATGGGCAATCAAAGTTAGGATACTTGGAAAGTGTATTTTGAGAAAACTGGCTTTGAAAATCAGATTTTCATGTCTGTATGCTAGGACAAGCTCTCTTAAATACCATTTTCAAAGCATTTATCGATTATAAATCAGAGAAAGGTAAATATAAGATGAAAGTTAAATGGTTAATATGTTTTAGAGATATATAAAAAAAAAAAAATCGAAAAAATTTCACATTTGTGCATTTATTGGAAAACTGCCTGTGCAACTTATCCCTCCTTTAGCTTGGTTCTGCCACATATGGGCACATCACATAAATTTGTCACATAAAATTTAGTAGTGTGAACTGGTGCTTAACAGAAATGGCAACATCGATGTGGAAATTAGTATTCAATTTATTGAAAAAAACTTTCAAGTCATCATCCAGTGTGAGTCTATAATATAAAATTGAATAAAACAATATTTTAAAGGAACATATCTGTTTTATTAGACTGTGTTGTTCAAATTTATGTAAATGCAGCTCGACGCAATTTGTTGTCATTTCGGGTATGTGCGAGATAAACGCAGATGTCGCGTCATAGGATATTAAATGTTTTGTATTTTCACCATGACCTAAAGACTGTCCCTGACAATAAATCGTGTCGGTCTGCGTCGTATGACGCTGTCCGAGTTGGACTTTAGAATAACATACTGAGGTACAGTAATGAAAAGAAGTAGTTAAAACACTTGGGTTTTCTTATGATGCTACACATTTTTCTCAAAGTGTTTACCTACATCTGTACCCTCAAACAATCAACTGAGGAGAACATGGTCCTACAGTACTGGATAGTCACACCACCAGCTGGCTAGGTGATAGACCTGCTTGTGGAAAGTTCTAACTGCAATGTGGAATTCATAGCGAATGAATCAACTGATGCCTAATTCAAGCGATTTTAAACAATGATAATTCTAAAATGTGTATTGTATATGGTTTTTCAACAATTACCCACATAGTTCCATAAAAAAAAACTTGATTTTTGTATACTTTGGTCATTTTTAACATTGATTTACTCAGGTCACGATTTCTTACTCTAAATGATTTATCCATATTTGCTTTCGTTTTTGTATAAACATTATTGGAAAAAGTATTAATGTATCAACAATAAGTGGTTGGCTCCAGAAAGGCAGATTAACGATTAAAATATTAAAATTGGCAATTTAGAGTGTCAAAAATTGGGGTAAAATATGCTCCCTATGAAACCCCTACTGACAACTAATATACTAAAATTTATGTATTTAAAAAGACTGAAATTCAACATGATATGTAATGGCATGTACACTTCATTTTAAGTTAAACTGAGCATCTATATTACTACTGTATGTCTTAATTATACTAGAATATAACATCTTTAAATCTTCTCTAAAAAAAAAAAACACCCCTTAAAGAATCATTTGCACAAAAAACAATGATCTCACAGATAGTTTTTAAAATATACATCTTTATCAAATATCTGGGAATTACATCTAAAATGCTCATTAACAAGGATTGTAATAAATTTATTATAGATAAAGGATAACAATCACTTTTTTTTTACATAGTTACAGTTCATGCTACTGTGTTGGCCAAGTAGCAAAATTGTATTTACAACATACAAGTGCAATCGTAAACTTAATTAAAATCCGAGTAAACTTTATTTCCTAGTTAATTATTGATGGTAATTTGGCAAATGGGGAATTCATTTCAGTTAAGGTTACATACATTTTGAAACAAAGAATGTGTGCTCCACAATAATTATATCCAGCTTTTTAACTCCCTACACTAACTTAAGACTTCTTATTCCATTTCCACCTACTGTTGTCAAAACATACTATAATAGAAAATGCCTTAAAAATCCTATAAAACTCAGCCTCAAAAATGATTTCTTGAATTAAATAGGATTTCATATTTTCTGTGTTTAAAATCATGTACATTATATTTTTATTATGATAATTTAATTAAAAAATGATTTATATCAGTTTTAAAGTACTATCCACACTATCACTCAGGTTTTTTGCAACAAATTTGTGTAAATTGCAATATATGTGAATGATGATGTCATATCTTATCATTCATGTATGAGCATGGTAATGTTTTATCAGATCCATATATGGCAAGTCACATGCATTTGTAACATTAAATCTGATAGTGTTGATGGAGCTTTATACAAGTAGCACTTCAACCAATGAGATCTGGGAGTTAGAAAATACAAGATGACCACCCTACAGGTAAAAATGCAGTACTGACTACCTATGTTGAGGGTTTCAGGTGTGACCAGATGAGGGCAGCAAACTACTCTTATTCTACCTCATGAAGATAACAGTTTCTAAGTATTCTTACACTAGAAATAAATGGGATGGACTAATCACTGTACAAAACATACATGGGAGGTATTTTAGAAAATTATTAACAAAATCTACGAAATCTTTGACTTAGAAACATCAATGGGGATGAAGGCAATTTCAAAAACAAAAACAAACATTCTCACACACAGCCATTGATGTAGTATTTACAGCAGTAAAAATTACCTATCAAATCTTAAAATTCCTAATTGTTAAAAATATAGATACTTTTATATATCTTCATTTCTTGAACAAGGTGAGGCGTGTGGTACATACTTATCATCGTAACACACAGCTAAAATTGATTCCGTATTCTTAGTCAAATCATTAAACATTTATCCAAATTTTGAAAATATTTAGTGAATTTTTCAATTGTGAGGGCGCTGTTCATGACTATACAAACCAACTAGCATTTATAAATGCTAAAAATACAAATACTTTTATGTCTTATTATAATTAGAATCTTGGTCTTATAAAAAATTTATTTTGTTATCACAGTATTGGTGATTCACTGTTAACCTCGCTAGAAAATTACCATGATCCCTGGACTGCAGAGCATTTTGTGCCAACCATTTCTCCAAACATTTACTAGAAAAGTTCATAGAGAATGTGCTCCCTTGCCAATTATAGAAATTATAGAAACTACAATTTATAGTACATATCTTACACAAACAGTTTGCATCAAAAATAGACAATAGGAGGGATGGACCTCTACTACACAAAGAATCTTGATGTATTCCACAAAATAACGGGCGTTGTACCGCCCTCTCCTGATTGATCATGTGACTATTGTGATTCAACGCTGGCAGATGCGTTATTAATCAGGTGGGAGGAGCTCATGTAATCGGTAACGATCTCGCACCAAAGGCCGGACATCACCTTTCTGCAAAAGCGAAAATAAGACACTTAATAGAATTGATTAACTGATAGAAAAATTAAAAATCTAACTTTGTCTTCTGAATCAATCATATTATTATAAATACTTATTCAATCATTTATGTTAATTTATGAACATATAATATGAAATGAGAGGTTATGAAATTTGAGATTGATACAATGCGTCCCTTGGAAAGCAATGGGATTACATTTCATGTTGAATTGACAGCATAGGGAGGTGGCGTATGTGTGTGTTACTACAGTATAGGCCTTTCATACAACACCCACCCAGAGCTTGTATGTATATATAGCAGGTCCATTATCAGCTGTTGTTTAATATGAGAAAGGGAGAGATTTTCAATCCTAACCATAGAGCTATTAAACAACTAGAGTGCTGACAAGATGGCAAAGCAATGCAGAGTTTTGTATGTGTACCATCCAAGATGGCTGTCGTAGTAAAGCGCCACCTTCAGGCTTAGTATACATACTGTATTATTACCATAAATAAGCCCTCTGATTGACTATTATTTCACTAATGATAATGAGTAATGGTAATAACAAATTATTAAACATTCGTAGCCAAAACTAGGCCAAGTGGAGCATCTTATTCAAAAATAAAGTAGCAAGGAATGAAAATTAAAATCGTGTACATTACACCCATACACCGCAACGCTCGAGTTTCAAACATACGGGTAACTAGCTGTACTGAACTTTCTGTGTAAATTGAGGGTGCAATTGCAAATGATGGTGCTTAGGCGAAATTTGATTGGCTGAATCTATGGCAGCCATCTTGGATGATGTACACACACACAGCTCTGCGTATTTCGAACATTGAATACATTGCAGTTAGCGCTCTAGTATTCTTATTATATCTCTATGGTCCTAAACATAAATTGCATATAAGATTAAGGGAGAAATAAGGGATCAAGGGCATCTCCCTCCTCTACTCCTTACTTATAGATTGAAAGGTATTTTCCAACATTTTTCAGGGACCAAGTTATTAATTTGACAATCAATTACTGTTGGAATGGCGGCATATGAATAAAATGACAGCTTGATTGAAATAATGAGTATACAGGTTAACAGTTGAAAGTTACAGTTCTTCATTGTATGTATTCGTCACTGTAGACAACCAACATTCTTGAAAACTATATAATTTGACCATTTGATAAGACATCAATTATTATGTTACCTTAGCAACAAGATCCTCCAAGAAAGGGATAAGTTTTAACAACTCTGTGTCGCCCTCATCTGTGAACCAACTCTCAATCGGGATTCCATTCTCAAGCTATTCAGTGAAAACAAATGCATTATTTTATTTAAATATTCCAAAACATAGAGAATTTTAAGTACAAACTTCAATGTAATATATTCTGAAAAAAAAAATAAAGCTTTACAGAAAGTGTACTGCCTCCAAAAAAATTGTTCTAAATACACATCCAAAATATACATATAACACTAAAGTGCACATCAGCAATAATGCCTTGAAGCGCCAATAATGGTACAGTGACGCTCCTGTACAGCCCTTTTGATTTGGCAACGAAAACACCTGTCAATAATAGAATTAGGGAGTGCCAAAACACAGTAACCATTGACAAACTTATTAATGGATATTGGTGCGATCTTGGCCTAAGGTAGGTTGTTTGATGAAATTTCCAATAATAACTTTGTTTCCCACCAACCCCCATCTTTACTTACCTGATAACCGAATGCTTGAGGAGAGTTATCAATGATAACGGTCTTGGTCAGGTCACGACCTAAGATTGTCAGATCTTTTATGTAATTTCCTTGAACGCAAATGCAGTGATCTCGAAATAGCCGATGCCTGTGAAAATACAAGCGAAATTTATTTCATTATTCAAACAAAAGTCTTCCTCTCTATTCTCACTTTGCAAGAGAAGAACCATAACCTAACATAATTTGATGGAACTGTTTTTCTCAGCCTCCCAATTTATTTTCTTCCTCCTCCCGTTCACTCCATTTTGAATTTTCCTTCTTTCCCTCCTCTCCATCCTAATCTCACATCTTCCTCCCCCATTCTACTATATCCTCATCTTCCCTTCTTCCTCTTTTACTTTATTCACATTTTCTCTTATTCTTCACCACCTATCATCACCCTACCTTCTTTCTTCTTCATTCCATCCTTATCTTCCCTTCTTTCCACTACCCAACAAAGGCACTTCATATTGCCTTCCTTCTTCCTTTCTACTACATTCTCATATTCCATACTTCCCCTTCAATTTATCCTTATCCCTTAATCATTCTTTTTCTTCATTATCTTCATTCAATGAAAATAACTTACTTGACAAGTTTATGTTCAGGATCCAGCAAGTTTAACAGCTTGTTGGCGTAAACTTTCTTAGAAGCTGTGAACAGGATGATTTCATAAAATTTTGACATACGTTCCAAAAACTCGCGATAGAACGGCCGTGTCCTTACGTACACCTGTAACCAAAACAAACATTTATTAAGAGAGCTCAGCTGTATATAATAGTAATTAGGCACATGCCATTCCCAATTCAGCATTCTAACGCAATGAGTTGAACTGAGTAATTAGCATAAGAATGTGGCAGTGTTGTAATTGAAGCTGTAATACATTCACTCATAACTTTGGCAAAAATTAAGTTGATTCCACTACATGACCCATCATTTTAAAAATATAAGTGCATATTATGAATATATTAAAAAGTAAAGTTTTTTTTGTTTTTTTTTGGCCACGGATGCTGGTTTTGGGATGGCATGCTTCATATGCGGTGACATACAAAACAAAAATATTGTGAGTGTAGGGTACTACAGATGGTTAATACATCCCAAACTTATAAATAAGAAACACCAACAACGTAAAACTATGGGGACAATATCTATGAGTATTTGCCAGCATGGATGGTATGAACTTAGTAAAGAAGAGTAAACTATAATAAAATATAAACTTTTGTCTACACTATCAAATTTCATCAAAGAACCGTCACATATAATGTGATGGATGTGATGGAAAATAAGAGTTGAACACGTTCAACTTTTTTGATACAATTTGATAGTATGTGATTTGAAATCATCGTACCCATATGTGGGCACATCATATTTTGTTGTCACATAAAATTTCATAATGTAGACAAAGCTTTAGAATATCTGCTTACCTGGTATGTGACATCCTGGAACAAAACTGGAAAAGACATGTTACAATTGTCCATCTCTTGTAAGCTACAGTGTACTATAGTCTCATCCTACAATATAAAAACAAATATAAAATAAAGTAATAAAAAATAACAAAAATATTATATATATATATATATATAT